GTTGGGGGGGGGGGGTGTATATATGTATGTATGTATATATATAAGAAGAATCTCAATTCCTTTAAGTTGTATGATCATCTGACATAAACTCTTCTTGTCTGAACAGCGATCAAATATGAACTATCAGACGTTAGAAACTTGGACCATCCGAAACCCAAAGTCTTAATGGTCCAATTTGGATGGGCCCAATTCTTAATGGGCTTCCTACTATACAAATGCGTTCGAACTTCAAAGGAACGACACAACGTGGGCCCAATTGGACTTCCTTTATTATTAAGATAAAATCAAAATATTATTAACTAACCTTAATCTATGTGTTTGTGTTCTGACTGAAAACATTACCCCCCAAATCAAAAAGCAGGCGAAATGAATGAAAAACCTGAAATTAAGGTGGTTCCATTTTTATTAAAAAATATTCATAAAAGCAGGAAAAAATTTTAAAAAATCAACTATCTAAGTCACTTGAAAAATTCTATTTTAAATTTCTTATAAAAATTCATCCATTATAAATTATAAAATAAAAGCATCAATTATATAATTTATTAAAAAATCTTCTACTTTAAATTTGTTATAACAGTCCATGAATTATTAATTTTGAAAAAACACATACATCAACTATGTTACTTACTCTAGGAGACATTGTACTTTAAATTTATTATAAAAATTTACTAATTTTGGAAAATACATATATAGATTATACAATCTCAAATCTAACAATCAAAACCTAAAAATTTATACAAATTTATTATATGTGATATTTAAAATTTATATAAATATTTATATTTTATTTTGATATTTAGAATTTTATAATCCATATGTATCTTCCTTTATATAATAATTTATATACAGATCTTATTCTTAAATATAATTTTATTGATTAAATTTATCATTGTATATGAAAATTTAATCACATTTGTAATCTATTAATCAATGAGATTTTTTTAGATTATCAGTTTGTTTTTTAATTAAAAAATTTAGTAAATAAAATTTTATATAGCGTAAAGTTTGTATATATTGATTATATAAAAGATATTGTTCCATTTTAAAATTTAAATTTAAATATTATTTTTGTTTAAAATTAAAATTAATGGATCTTTATAATAAATCTAAATTAACCCAATTTGGTAGATCAACGGGTGAAATAGAGACGTAATTCTAATAAATCTAAATTAAACCAATTTGGTAAAATGTCTCTTCCAATCCAAATTCGAATTTCAAGTTAAGAAAAGAGTATAATTCTAATCACAGAATTTGTTTATATTCTGAGATTACTTTGAAACTTACTCCAAGATACCCAATTATTCAAAAAAAATATAAATCAGAAAATTTTTTGTTGAAGACGTTAGGCATAAATTATAGATTTTTATAACGTTATTATATACCATTCTACAGTTAATGATATTTTTATAACGAAGATAATTTAAAAACCGGACTAAAAGACATTGGACAACGATAAAGGGGATGTGAAACAACCGAGCAAAAAGTGAGAGTAGCCGACGACACCATGGCTATGTGGTCACTCCAATTCCTCAATATAGGAAATAAAGACAAATACATTTTTTTAATTTAATTAAAAAATGATTAGAGAAACGAATTAATAAAAATATTTATTTGGAATGTGAGGTGTATGTTATGTATCCCCTCGAAATCTACCTGGCTATATCCCTTTCTAATCATTACAGTATACAGTATACACATATATTTTGAAAACTATTATATTGGTCCAAGAATAATAAATGCCAAAACATCACACCAGTTTCCAGTCTTTACCAAAAAGGATGTTTTCAGTTAATTAAATAAAAAATTGTATTTATTATGGAAGTTGGATACAAATAGAAAAAAATCAGGTATAAAGCCTCTTAGAGGAATAAATTTATTATTTATAATCATACAAAAAAAAATATTATTTATAATCCTTGTGGTTGGTGAAAAAATATATGACATTATTTTATTTTATTTTTAAATTCCAAGCGATAGCAAAGTGAAAACGACGGCGTTTAGATGGCGACTGGCTTTTCCATGTTCATGCGCCGGTTTCCGACCTCGCAAAACGCGGAGTACAGCGTTTCAGTGCAAATCTTTTGTGTCCTTATTGCCTCAAAAGTTCGAAGAAAGATTATTTTTTTTTCAAATAAAGGTTTGGCCTTTTGAATCCTCAAATTTCTTCCTCCCATTAATGGCATTCATGGTTCATCGGAATTTTCTAGTTCATCAGTAGATGTCCTCTTCCTTCTCCGTCTTCTCCATCCTCCAAATTACTTCTAGGGTTTGGTTTCTTCCTTCTCCGCTGAAAAAATTACTTCGTTTTCTTCGCTTCCCTCGACCAATGAAGAAGCCCAAACTCGACTATTCCGTCTCTCTGAGTCGATTCGGTCTGGTTCAGTTCCTGGTGGCTGTTCTCTTGTTTTATTTTCTCTGCATGAGCCTTGAGATCCCACTCGTTTTCAGAACCGGGCCCGGCTCATCGTTCGCCTCCGGCGAGTCTTCGGCTTCCGCCATTGTCGAAGCATTGCCCGGACAGATGCGTGTTGACTCAGAAGCAAACTGGGCTGTCGAAGAAGACCCGCTTCGTGCTTTGAAGGACCGCGGTCGGGCCCAGTTCCGGTCATCTGAGCGGCGAGTGCGGGAGTTCAAGACAGTCTCTGATATTTTCGTTAATGCGAGCATTTTTGACAGCCGCGGTAGAACCGCGGATGAATTCTCCAGCTTTGACAAAACAGCAAAGGAAGCAATTTCTGTTGGGTTGAAAATGTGGGATGAGCTCGAATCGGGTTTGATCAAGCTCCAGGAGGCGAAAATCCCAACAAAAAGCCAAACCGAGAAATGCCCAGATTCGATCACTGTATCAGGGTCGGAGTTCGTGAACCGGAGCCGGATCATGGTACTGCCGTGCGGCCTGACCTTAGGCTCTCACATCACCGTAGTGGCTACGCCCCATTGGGCACACGCCGAGCACGACCCGACGATTACGGTCGTGAAGGAAGGAGACGGTTCGGCGATGGTGACCCAGTTCATGATGGAGTTGCAGGGTTTGAAGACGGTGGACGGCGAAGATCCGCCTCGGATCCTCCATTTCAACCCGAGGATTAAGGGTGACTGGAGTGGGAAACCGGTGATTGAGCAGAACACTTGCTACCGCATGCAATGGGCTACCGCTTTACGCTGCGATGGACGCGAATCTAAGGACGATGACGAAACCGGTATGCACTTACTATTCAACAATTCTGGATTCGATTATGATGGGTCGATTCATTGACTTATGGTTGATTAATTTGACCTCGCATTTGAATATAGACTTGAATCGTCAACGTTTGATTTGTTTATGCATGTTTGTTCGCTAAAGGTTCGTTTTTTAATCCTAAAATCGCATGAATAGCAAGCATTTCACTGATGATAAAAATGCAAAATTGGTTTCCGGGTTTGGTGAAGTTGATGGAGAGGTGAAATGTGAAAGATGGATGAGAGAAGATGATGATGGGTCCGAGGAATCAAAGGCTTCATGGTGGTTGAACAGACTGATTGGTCGGACGAAGAAGGCAACACATGCTTGGCCATACCCTTTTTCAGAAGGGAAGCTCTTTGTTCTCACCCTTCGAGCTGGAATGGAAGGTTACCATGTCAGCATTGATGGAAGACACATTACCTCTTTCCCCTACAGAACCGTGAGTGATATTATCTGACAAAAGCTTCTCACTTTCATTCTCTGAGCTTTCCTGATTTTGTTAATGGCGAGGTTTAACAATGAACTGTGATGGTTTCAGGGATTTGTTCTTGAGGATGCCACTGGCTTAGCGATCAAGGGTGACATTGACGTTCAATCTATATTTGCTGCATCATTGCCCTCTAACAACCCGAGTTTTGCTCCACAAAAGCATCTCGAGATGCAAACCATATGGAAAGCCCCTCCACTACCCGAAGGACCTGTTGAGATGTTCATTGGCATTCTTTCTGCTGGCAACCACTTTGCCGAGAGAATGGCCGTGAGGAAATCCTGGATGCAGAACAAGCTAATCAAGTCATCGAAAGCAGTAGCCCGTTTTTTCGTGGCAATGGTAAGAATGATTCTCGAAAACAAGCTGGTGTTGTGCAAGATTTATGATCCGGGTTAATTATTTTTCTATTCTGATTTCTTGGCAGCATGCAAGAAAGGAAGTAAACGTGGAGCTAAAGAAAGAAGCAGAGTATTTTGGTGATATTGTTATGGTTCCCTACATGGATCATTATGACCTTGTTGTGCTAAAGACTGTTGCCATCTGCGAATACGGGGTAAAGACAACCTTATCATCTCTTATTTTTTTTTCAAAGTTGAGTTTTTTTATAGTTTATGCAATCTGTTTGGTTTATACGGGACATTGTAGGTTCGAACTGTGGCAGCGAAGTACATCATGAAATGTGACGACGACACGTTTGTCCGCTTGGACGCTGTCATTGAGGAAGCAAAAAAAGTTAAGGAACAAAATCTATATATCGGAAACATAAATTTCTACCACAGGCCTCTTCGTTCAGGGAAATGGGCAGTGAGATACGAGGTATGACACTTAACACCGCAGGACAAGCTCGTCAATATCAGGAGATCACTTCTCGGGTTGTCTGTATAGTATATCATGTTCTTCAAGTACATTTCTTTAACTGTGTGTGACACAGGAATGGCCAGAAGAGTACTACCCTCCATATGCAAATGGTCCTGGCTACATATTGTCATACGATATTGCTCAGTTCATCGTCGAGGAGTTTGAAGAGCAGAGATTGCGGGTAAGTTAAGAGTCAGAATACAAAAAAAAAAAGATTGAAGCTTTTCTTCTTGGAGAGATTGACAAGATTGAGATTCTTGAAAATGGCAGCTGTTCAAGATGGAAGACGTGAGCATGGGAATGTGGGTGGAGAAGTTCAACGAGAGCAGACCGGTCGAAATGGTTCACAGCCTCAAGTTCTGCCAGTTCGGATGCGTCCAGGACTACTACACTGCCCATTACCAGTCTCCTCGCCAGATGCTTTGCATGTGGGATAAGCTTCTTCGACTTGGCAAGCCTCAATGCTGCAACATGAGATGACCTTTCTCCATACCCTGCAATTTTTTTTGGTCCTAACTGTTAGATCTCTGTATGTACAGAACTATATATATATATATATATGTATGTATGTAGCCATTTATACAATGGAGGGAGAGGACTGCAATGATAGTTTTGCGATGTAGAAAAGCAGCAGAGACGTCTTGTTGGCTGGCTCCATAATGAAATCGTCCCTTTAATTTAACTCGTTTCTGAATACTTCACATTGAGAACAACACGGTTTCCGTTAATGAATAATGGAAACGACACGGTGTTTTCTTCTGGGCTCGAGACGAGAAACAAGCCCCCGTGTTATACAGGTACCGACCGGGTCATGAGTCGATGTTTTCTTCCGGGCGGCGTGAGACGAATACGATATTTGCATCATTGCATGAACTGCTGCATCACTTTTAAAGAAACTGAGAGAGCCATTGTAATAGCAGGAAACAACACATTCTCTTCCTTTATATAGGTAATGGGTATGTTACCGTAATCTTCTTATTCCCAATCGAATTTGGGTTTTCCCGCTTTGCTTGTCCTTGTTGTGGTGTTTGTTCCATGTCGGAATCTGCAGCAGGCCTGAACCTACAAATTTTGATGGGTTTTATGCTGTGATTTTGAGTCTACGTGAGATTGAGTAAAGGGTTCTCTTTTTTTCCTATTTCACTTGGGTCTGTTCGCTGTTTTCCAGTGGTAAGGATCGCTCATAACGTGTTCGACGGAATGACTATGAGAAAGTAGTTTGCGGCATGGAGTTGAAAGACATGTAATGTTTTTTCTCAGGACTCGGCTGTCTCTTTTTCATGGTTTATGAGGTTCCCGGCTTGTTGGGATTATGATGGAGGGATGAAGCTTTCCAACTTTTTCTGTTTTCCGACATGGGAAGTTCTTGTTGCTGCATTGTCATCCAAGAGTTCTTGTCCTTTGTGACAATGGGTTCCAATGATGAAGATGAAGAGAGGTGCCATCTCTGGCTTCAGAAGTTACGTTCAAGTCTTGTCCGATCGGTCTTTCCGACATGCCCCCAAGGCTAGACTTTTATGTCGAGGATTCAGTTTTTCTAGATCCACTGATACGAGACCATTCCCTAATTATTCACCGAAGAAACCTTCTGTCAGAGACACTGAACTGGTCCACCAAATTACCAATGTCATAAAGCTGCGTCGGGCTGAGCCCCTTAGACGAAGCTTACAGCGTTATGAGTCCAAGTTCAGGCCTGATCACTTGATTTGGGTTCTGATGAAGATTAAGAGTGATTACGGTTTGGTTCTGGATTTCTTTAACTGGGCATGCTTTCGCAGAGACTCGAACCTTGAAGCTCTCTGCATTGTCATTCAGCTAGCTGTATTTTCAAAGGATTTCAAGGTGGCTCATTCTTTTATAAGAGGTTTTTGGGAAAAACCAAAGTCAGATGTTAGTGGTTCTTTTAAACATTTTTTCGACCTTTTGATATACACCTACAAGGACTGGGGTTCTGATCCCCATGTATTTGACGTTTTCTTTCAAGTTCTCGTTGAAGTTGGACTGCTCCATGAAGCAAGAAAGGTCTTTGAGAAGATGTTGAACTACGGATTGGTTATCTCTGTTGATTCCTGCAACTTGTATCTTAGCCGGCTTTCAAAGGACTGCAATAAACCTGCTTCAGCAATTGTAGTATTCCGTGAATTCCCTGAAGTGGGTGTTTGTTGGAATGTCGTTTCCTACAACATTATTATTCATTCTATTTGTCTTCTCGGGAAAATAAGAGAAGCCCACCATTTACTCCTGATTTTGGAGTTGAAGGGCTACATACCTGATGTAATAAGTTACAGTACCATAATAAATGGATACTGTGAAGTTGGTGAACTTGAGAAGATTTGGAAGCTCGTAGAAGAGATGCAACTGAAGGGATTGAAGCCTAATTCTTATACCTACAGTAGCATAATTCTTTTGCTTTGTCGAACTGGTAAACTAGGCGAAGCGGAGAAGACATTTAGAGAGATGACAGGCCTGGGAATATTTCCTGATGCTGTTGTTTATACAACTCTTATTGACGGTTTCTGCAAGAGAGGGGATATTCAGACTGCCCACAAAATATTCCATGAGATGCAGAATCTGGGTGTTTCCCCAGATGCTTTGACATACACTGCTCTAATATCAGGGTTTTGTCAGATTGGCAAGATGGTGGAGGCTGGTAAATTATTCCATCAAATGCTTAGCAGGGGTTTAGAACCGGATGGAGTTACCTTTGCCGAACTTATTAGTGGGTATTGCAAGGCTGGTGAGATTAAAGAAGCATTTAGCCTCCACAATCACATGATTCAGATTGGATGCTCCCCAAATGTTATCACATATACCACACTAATCGACGGGCTCTGTAAACAGGGGGAGTTAGAGACAGCAAATGATCTTCTCCATGAAATGTGCAAAATTGGTCTCCAGCCAAATATTTGCACTTATAACTCCATTGTCAACGGTCTATGTAAATCAGGGAGTATTGAGGAGGCGATTAAACTTGTGGAAGAAATTGAAGCTGCTGGACTCAATGCAGACGTTGTCACTTATACAACGGTAATGGATGCCTATTGTAAAGCAGGGGATATGGCTAAGGCTCATGAGCTATTGAGGGAGATGCTTGGGAGAGGAATTCAACCTACTGTAGTCACATTCAATGTTTTAATGAATGGTTTTTGTTTGCATGGTATGTTGAAAGATGGGGAGAGGCTTCTGGATTGGATGCTGGGAAAAGGTATAGTGCCTAATGCAATCACATATAATTCTCTCATGAAGCAGTACTGCATTAGAAACGACATGCGAGCTGCAACTTTGGTTTATAAGGGTATGTGTTCTCGTGGAGTGATACCTGACAATAACACATATGAGATTTTAATAAAAGGTCATTGCAAAGCTAGGAATATGAAAGAGGCGTGGTTTCTGTACAAAGAAATGATAGACAAGGGGTTTTGTGCCTCAGCTAGCACATATGGTGCTCTCATTAAAGGATTCTTCAAAAGGAAGAAATTTGCGGAGGCGAGAGAACTTTTCGAACAGATGAAAAGAGAAGGTTTAGCTGCAGATAAAGAAATCTACGACTTTTTCATTGATACAAAATACAAGAGAGGCAATTCAGATACCAGTTTGGATAGTGTTGATGAGATAATAGAGAATTACCTTGTGGATAATGATCATGCTGAAACAAAGTAGCTGGTGGGTCTGAACTGAAGTTCATCTTATCGATATCAAGTTGCCGATTCTGCGGAATCATCTGAAGCCTGACCCGAAGCTCCTGAACCGTCAGGTAATAATAACAAAGGAGATTTATGATCTCAAAGAAACAAATGTTAGTCCCATCCTTATCTGTGATCGATCGACATATATTATCAGGCACTTTGAGAGCACTGATTGGGGAGAGGTTTAAGTAGAAGATCATTCTTCTCCGCCCTTTGGAAATGGTATTTATTTTCATAGGTTACTGTCTTTTTTCTTTTAACAAAGCTCACACTTTTCCATGATCACTCAGCAAGGTTTCACGGGCTTTATGTGTAGGATCGTGGGCAGTGTCTGTGAAGCAGAAACTTTCCGGCTGGCCCGGGTGCTTCAATAGCTTCTCAGAAGGCAAGACAAGATGCTGCTGCTCAAATACATTCCAGTGTGATGTTTTTAACTCTGATGCAGAACAGCAGATGATAGGTGATCAGTGGTACGAGAAAAACAGTTGTATTGAACTCTGTTTCTGTAAAAGAACTAGTTTCCAACCGTTGTATATGTTGTCTGGTTTTTGCCACACTATCTTGTCTTTGGGAGAATGATGAAGTATTACGTTTTCTCTAAATTTTGTTGGGCTGCATCCCATCAATTGCACCAGTGGTCTAGTGGTAGAATAGTACCCTGCCACGGTACAGACCCGGGTTCGATTCCCGGCTGGTGCATCTTTTTATTCTTCGACTCTTACGTCATTATTTGACGGGAGAGTACGTACATTGCATATACTAACTAATACATATAATATACCTTCTTTGACTCTTACGTCATTGTTTGACGGGGAGTACGTACATTGCATACGCACGCCTCCCAACTACATATTCCACTTCTTTTTTTCCTTCAACTACCTTTTGCACATTTTAAAACGTGCTATAATGTTTGTTTCCTTTTTTCCCTTTTGTACGTTTCCATGTTTGAAAATCAAGAATTCGACAGGGAAGAATATATATACATACATATATACGTATAGAGAGAGAATAGGAGTCCAGATATGGACCAAGACCCATAAGGAAAAACAATTGTACTGAATATTTTATAACCATAAGTTTTTTGTCAAATTCATTACTTAACGGCGTTGTCTGATTAATACAAAGCAACAAAGACCAAGAAAGTTCAAACCCATTATCCAATGAGAAGGCCACACCCATTCACCCATCATCTATTACATGAGTGATATTTTTTTTTTTATGAGTTGTGTAAATGGAAATTATACATATGAACCATAGTTTTCATGAATTCATTTAGATTTTCAAATTAGTTATAGATAACGAATCTGATTCGAAGTAATTTATAAAAAATAATAAAGATTTTACCTTCTCGTTTATTATATTTATTTTACAAAATAAAAATAACATAATTATTTTGGATTATTTTGATAAATATATATAAATAGATTTTACCATGTTAACCATAAATAATTACTATCACGTTGGATTCATGCATGAGCTTGAATTCAAATTCAAACTTTGACAGAACCATTTGTTTTAGTTGGACCGGCACCCATTGATATTAATTTGGACCGTCGTGGCCGACAATTAAATCATAAAATATTATGTTTTCTTACGTCAAATATTTACGAGATATTAACACTGAAGTGTTGATTTTAACAAAGATCGAGTACATCAACAACAATGCAACACTTCATGGTTCGGTCCAAACACAAATACAATATTGGACAGCGACATATATCATACATATTTAAAATGTTCCCTTGAAACTAATTAATTCCCTATGAATATTAAAAAATAATGTACCATTTATTTTATTCCAGTCAAACATTAAGAATTAAATTTGGTTAGACAATCCTACTGTTGAAATGCTTTTGCTCTTACTATATATATGGTCACCCACGTAAAGCTGACTGTGGAACGAAAAATATGAGAAGATATATTAATGATATTAAAGTTTTATTCGAATCTTAAACGTGAATTCACTTTTTGAGGTTTGTTATAATTAATATCAAATTTAAAAGTCTACCACTAAAAAAAATATTATTTGGATTGTAGAGGAAACGCCTATAAGTAATATAAGAGATTTATCTACATTACTCTTTAATTATCATAACTTTTTTTTTATAATAAAAAGATAATGTCCCTTATATAAATTATTTTCTATGATTTAAAATTAATGGGTAAATTTTGACCAATATTTGAATTCTATATATAAATATATAATGCAAAACTTAGCCAACAAAATAGGAAAAGGACAATATATTAATAACGAACCAGGAAATAATAAAAAAATATGTTACCTTTGAATGGTATGACCACCAATTTTTTAGTAATGAAACAGGAAATTAAGTGGAACTTTCACAATTTCTTGGAATAAAAAACAAATCTCACCAACTAAAGTGCGAAAATTTTACCAATTCAACGAGAAGGGAACAAAAATAACCAAAATTCGCCTCTATATAAACATCGAAGATCACATCGATATTCAACCAAAAAAAAAGAGAGAGAGAAGAACACATCGATATAAACACCAAAACCAATAATATGCACAAAAAGCATAATATGTTCACACAACAGCCACGTTCAGTAACCACAACAACAACAACAATGGCGAAAAAACGAAAGGTTGGGTCAGACGAGATGGCTCAGAACGGTTCGAACGACGTGAAGCTTATCGGAGCGTGGCCGAGCCCATTCGTCCTGAGGGCTCGGATCGCACTTAACCTAAAGTTCGTACAGTACGAGTTTCTTGAGGAAGACATTCTCAACTCAAAGAGCGAGCTTCTCCTTAAATACAACCCTATCCACAAGAAAATCCCTGTTCTCATCCATGGCGGCAAACCCATCTGCGAATCCCTCAACATCGTTCAGTACGTGGACGAAGTATGGTCGTCCGATCCCGCCATCCTTCCGTCCGAGCCGTTCGATCGTGCCGTGGCTCGGTTCTGGGACATGTACATCGATGAACACGTAAGCCCTAGCTATCTGATTTTTTTAAAAAAAAGAAAAAACATTTCTGTCTCTGTCTATGTATTCATATCATATGCAGCTCTTTAACTTACGATATACATATATACATATGTGTGTAGTGCTACACATCCATTAATGGCGTCGCCGGAGCAAAAGAGGACGAGGAGAGAATAGCGGCGGTGGAGAAGCTACAAGGGTGTATGTCCCTTTTGGAAGACGCCTTCCAGAAATGCAGCAATGGCAGAGATTTCTTCGGAGGAGACAACATCGGATTCATCGACATCGGATTCGGGTCAATGCTCAGTCCACTTCGCGTCGTCGAGAAATTTTCAGGCGTCAAATTCCTGAATCCGGACAAGACACCGGGGCTTTTCCGGTGGGCCGACAGGTTCTGCGGCCACGAGGCCGTCAAACATGTCATGCCTGACGTCGAGAGGCTCGCCGCCTTCGCCATGCTCAAGTTCAACCGTTAAATAAAGAAACTTAACTTAGTTCCGATCTATGCTTATCGCGCGACATATGCTTCTAATGAGACTAAATGTTGTTCTTTTGTTTCTTTTATTGTATGGTTTGGGATCTAATAAATCATATGACACCTAAACGTGTCGTTTTTCTCATGTAATAAATCACATGACTCATTTTAAAATTTAGCATATTTTCTCTTATCGATAACATGAAATTACCAAAATAGAAAGAAATTACTATGTGGTAACTTGTATTTGTGTAAGATTGCAATGAGTCAAACTGGTTATTTAAATATTTAGTTCATATTCAGTTCAACAGATATATTATAATCCATACATATAAATTTGGAATTAAGTCGATCTTGATCTTGATATATTGCTATTTTTTTATATTTTTGTTATATGTATATATATTAAAATTGTATACTAACTCGTTTGTGATTACCAATAAAAATAGTTTCAAGAAATATGAAATTAATATGTTCACTTGTACCCATTTCTTACTCTTTTATTAATTTTTTGGCGTCTAGATGAATTTTAGTTAATAATATAAACAAAACGTAGAAAAAACCATGGATAGTGAGTATAAGTTCTTGAAATAGAATCTCGAAATTATAGATGTTGAAAAAATATAAATTTATATATAGCCAACTATTGTTTAAATTTTATATTCGACAATATTATCTTTAATTCTACTACATTCCATTTAATGCAATATTACATCAATTACGAAAGTATTTCGAGATGGTATGTCCAATTAAATATTATTCCATAAAAAAATATTAGTTAATTAGACATCAATTACGAAAAAAACCTATTTACTTTTATATTCATCTAAATTTAGATAACAACTTGTCGTGTATAAAAATATGATAACATGATTATTTTGAGAAACATAAAGATTTTTGGTAACGTTTACAAGATACATGAATCAGCTAAATGAATTCAATGTTAAACATTGACGGCGGCCTCATCAATGTTTGGACATATATACATTAAATATTTTATTGGTTTTCGAACCTTTTGGTCATCCGAGAATATAGATGAAAATCCACATGACAAGTTTGGATATATTCGTTTTTGTGTGTGGTTATTATATAGCTACGCTATGTATGTATATATGTATGTATGGGCTGACCCGTGTACGTTAGAATGGGGTCCTTTCCCCCATTGTTTATTTAATAATCTTTAAATTTCTTTATAAATTTTATAATTTTTTGAATAAAGATGTAAAATGTCCCCTATATTAGAATATTAAAAATATTCTGCCCCCTTCGATAAATCATCCTATCTATCTAGGTCCGCCGATTAATGTATGTATGTATTTATGTACAAGGCCGGATCTACGTTAGAAGAAGTGGGGGCACTGGCCCCGACTGTTTTTTTTTTTTAAGAACATTAGTTATATAGTTTAATAAAATTTTAAAAAAAATATAATAATGCCACCATTGGAATTTATTATGGACTCCACCATTTTTATTTTTTAATATATTTTGTGATGTTAGTTAACAAATCAAATAAAAAAATTGTATTTTATTTTTTTCCCCTTTTTTTCGTTATCTTCTATTTTCAAATTTTTTACTTTTGTTTTTAATCAAATAAAAAAATATTATCAATTCAATTATAATCAAATTAAAATGTTAAAATTAAAAATAAATATTTATAAAAACTATGAATTTAAATAATCTTTATTATTTTTTATTTATTTGTTTTTATATATTTATTATACTTATAAATTTATCTATATATATTTATATATTTATTTAATTTTATTTGATTTGGTAAAGAAAACAATAAATAAACTTTTAAATTTTTTTTGTAATAATATCTCAATATAGTAGTAAAAGTTCCACCAATAATTTACTCAAAAAAATTCAACCAATAATACATTAAATTTTTAATTTTTGAATTATTGTCTAGTTTATTTTATCAAAAAATATATTTTAAACAGTTATAAATATAATTATATAAATATATTTTAAAAATAAGAAATCATAGAATTCAATTGTTGAAGCTAAACATTTTTTAGATGATATTTTTTATTAAAATTTTATTATATATATATATATATATATTATTGTTTCGTTGTCCGCCTTGAAAAAACTTTCTGGGTCCGCTACTGTGTATGTATGTATGTACGTACGTACGTGTGGGATCATAACCAACAACAATCGAAACCCTAGCAGTGCGTCCAAACACAAATACGATGGACAGAGAGACATATATCATATCATATAATTTGTCCCTTTTTGACTCTTGGTATTGTTAAATAATTTGGGAATAAATATATTGTTAAATAGATTATTTAATTGTATTTATTTCTAGCGAAAACCTAAAGAATTGATGTATGGTCTTACTTGTAACAATGCACCAAATTTCAAAGTAAAATAATACAAAATGAATAAAAGGCTTCGTGGTCTAGTGATTGGGATGCGATTTCTGACCAACCGGACTTATGGGCACGAAACTTAGTCGAACTTTCACAATTTCTTGGAATTTTCGAATCAAATATTAAATCAAAACACTTTGAATTCCCCTCTATATAAACATCGCCAAATCACCAAAAACAAAGTGTGCACACAAAAAAAAAGCATCAGTTCACGAGCACTAAAGAAAACTACAACAACAAAAAAAAACAAGAACTTTGTTCGGACGAGATGGCTCGGAACGGTTCGAACGAGGTGAAGCTGATCGGTGCGTGGCCGAGCCCGTTCGTCCTGAGGGCTCGGATCGCTCTTAACCTAAAGTCCGTACAGTACGAGTTTCTTGAGGAAGACATTCTCAACTCAAAAAGCGAGCTTCTCCTTAAATACAACCCTATCCACAAGAAGATCCCTGTTCTCATCCATGGCGGCAAACCCATCTGCGAATCCCTCAACATCGTTCAGTACGTGGACGAAGTATGGTCGTCCGATCCCGCCATCCTTCCGTCCGAGCCGTTCGATCGTGCTGTGGCTCGGTTCTGGGACATGTACATCGATGAACACGTAAGCCCTAACTATTCGGTTGGAAAAAAAAAAAAAAAAAATTTCTGTCTCTGTCTATGTATTCATATCATATGCAGCTTTTTAGCTTACGATATACATATATACATATGCGTGTAGTGCTACACATCCATCAATGGTGTCGCCGGAGCAAAAGACGATGAGGAGAGAATAGCGGCGGTGGAGAAGCTACAAGGGTGTATGTCCCTTTTGGAAGAAGCCTTCCAGAAATGCAGCAACGGCAGAGATTTCTTCGGAGGAGACAACATCGGATTCATCGACATCGGATTCGGGTCAATGCTCAGTCCACTTCGCGTCGTCGAGAAATTTTCCGGCGTCAAATTCCTGAATCCGGACAAGACACCGGGGCTTTTCCAGTGGGCCGACAGGTTCTGCGGCCACGATGCCGTCAAACATGTCATGCCTGACGTCGAGAGGCTCGCCGCCTTCGCCATGCTCAAGTTCAATCGCTAAATCGTGTTATCTCCATATCTCTCAATGTTTTTATCACTCTATGTCTCGAATGAGATGAAATGTTATTCTTTTTGTTTTTTTATTATATGTTTACACATCTTTACATTTTTTTATTCTCTACTTTGAATATAGATATCTGGATATATAACTCTTGAATGTTTGCGGGTTTATCTAGTGTTATATATCCAGATATCTAAAGAACATCTTCTCTTTTTTCCGTACATCTCAAGAACATATGCAAAACATAAATTTCCTCCAATGACAAAATTTACTCTAGATAAAACTCTCTTCTGTTAAGAGAAATTTACAATGATTAATGTCAAATATAATCCCACGCTAAAAAAAATCTCATACATTCAAATTTTTTCAACTTCCAATAAATCTTTAATATATAACACGATATCAGTTAACTCTCATTTTAAGAATTAGAGAGTGGAGAAAAAAAATTGAATAATGTCTATAATGTTTTATAATATAGAAATTTGAATTGTTTAAACATTTTATGAAATAATGAGTAGTCTTTTTTTTTATAAAATAACGAGTAGTCTTTTTAAGATAGAATATTGCTCAACTGATAAAATGTGGGATAAATCATTTTCCCAATCTAGATTCAAACATTCATTTGGAGAGTCCGTTCTTTGAAAGATGGACCAAATGTTATGTAAATTTTCGGATTATAAAAAAGTAGAGATGTCAAGTGGGCTGGACTCGGGACGGCATTATATCAAAAATACCTTTAATTTGCTATTTCTATTTCAAGACCTACCCTTGTGACCATGTGACCAATGTGACCGAAATATAGTATGGTCACATTTTGATTTTATCGATCATAACATTAAATTTATGGTGAGCACACTAATTCATTATGTTCATACCTCGTATATCTTACTAACCATTTGATTAAAACATCATAAATTTAACGTTATGAACAATGAGATCAATATGTGACCACACTATATTTCGGTCACATTGATCATATGGTCACAATGGTAGGTCTTGAAGTAGAAATAACAAAGTAAGGGTATTTTTTATAATGCCCCACTCAGGACCGACTTCATATTTTTTTCCTTTTTTTTTTTACCGTTGTTGTTGTGGTTAGTGAACGTGACTGTTGTGAGCATATATTCGCTTTGATCTTCGATGTTTATATAGTGGGGAATTTTGGTTATTTTTGTTCCCTTCTCGTTGAATTGGTAATTTTTTCACACTTTGGTTGGTGAGATTTGTTTTTTTTTTGTTCCAAAAAATTGTGAAAGTTCCGCTTAATTTCCTGTTCCATTGCTAAAACCTTGGTGGTCAGACCATTCAAAGGTGACGTATATTTTAATATATTGTCCTTTCCTATTGTGTTGGCTAAGTTCTGCATTATATATATATATATAGAATTCAAATATTGGTCAAAAGCTACCCATTAATTTAAAATTATAGAAATTAATTTATAAAAGTAATGATAAAGCAATATAGGTAAACCTCTTATATTATTTATAGGCGTTTCATCTACAATCCAAATAATATTTTTTTAGTAGTAGAGTACTTTTAAATTTGATATAAATTATAACAAACCTCAAAAAGTGAATTCGGGTTTAAGATTCGAATAAAACTTTAGTCTCATTAACATATCTTCCCATATTTTTCGTCCCACAGTCAGCTTTACGTGGGTGACCATAGTAAGAGCAAAAACATTTCAACAGTAGCATAGTCTACGTACCCAAATTTAATTCTTTATGTTCGACTAAAATAAAATAAATGTATATTATTTATTTTAATATTATAGGGAATTAATTAGTTTCAAGGGAACATTTTAAATATTTATGATATATGTCGCTGTCCAATATTGTATTTGTGTTTGGACCGAACCATGAATGCGTTGGATTGTTGTCGATGTAATCAATCTTTGTTGAAATCAACACTTCAGTGTTAATTTCTCATAAATATATGACGTAAGAAAACCGAATATTTTATGCTTTAATGGCTAGTAAAATCAATTTTAATCGTCGGCCACGACGGTCCAAATAAATATCAATGGTGCCGGTCCAACTAAAACAATGCTGCTGTCAAAGATTGAATTTGAATTCAAGCTCATGCAGAATTCAACGTGACAGTAATTATTTATGTTTTAACATGGGTAAAATGTATATATGTATCAAAATAATCCAAAATAATTATGTTCTCCTAATTTCGTAAAATAAATAAAATAAACGGTAAGTTGTTATACTTGAAGGTAAGATCATTATTTTTTTAATAAATTACTTCGAATCAGATTCGTTATCTATAACTGATTTGAAATTTTAAATGAATTCTAAATGTACGATAATAAAGTAGAAATATCTCAAATAGTGATAATTAGGGTTACATTTATTAATATCTCTTTAACGTCCTTAGTCTTTAATGTTTTGAAATTGGACCCAAAAAGAACATGAGATGGGACGGTGTGCATTTACGTGTAGTAGTGTCGATAGTTTGACCAATTTTGGTAAACGTGTCTTTTTCTTACGTGGCATTTACGGTGAATTGGATTTACCTTTTTTCCAAGTAATAGAAATATTAGAATATAGATAAAAATATATAAATATTATTCAAATTTTTATAGAAATATATATAAACACTATCACCTTGATAAGAAATTTGTTTAGTAGTTGTCCAGATTTCTCATTTGATTTTTGCAGTGTATTGGATTCCCCTTATCTTCTCTAAGTAACAGACTATTAGGATACAAATAAGATGTATAAATATTAATCATTTTTTATATAGATAAGATACCTTAATAAGAAATTTGTTGAGTAGTTATCCAAAAATTTATTATTTACCATTTTTATAGAAATATATAAAACATCACCACCTTAATAAGAAATTTGTTTAGTAGCTATCCCTTTTTTTTACGTGTCTTTTTCTCATTTGATGTTTGTAGTGATATTAGATTCACCTTCTTTTTATGTAACGAAAATATTAGGATATAGATAAGATATATAAATATATCAATTTTAATAGATATCAACCTTAATAACAATGTTTCATATATAGAAAAAACAAAGAAAAAATGATTATATAAACGAATTACGTAGTGTAACGCAAACAATCCCAAGCATTAAGACAACAACCCCTAACAGACAAGACAAGGCTAATTTCGATATTCAGATGGCTGAGGAGGGTTCGAACGGCGTGAAACTGATCTCCACGTGGGAAAGCCCTTTCTCGATAAGGGCTCGAAC